GAGTCCCGCATCGGGCTCCCTGCTCGGCGGGGAGTCTGCTTCTCCCTCTGACCCTCCTCCCTCTCATGCTCTCTGTCTCTCATTCTTTCTGTCTCAAATAAATAAATAAAATCTAAAAAAATAAAAATAACATCAGGACGCACCAAGATCTTGTCCAGCTCTGAGAGTGTGCTCCTTGTTTGGACCAAACAGAGTGGACAGGGGGACCAGCAGGTAGTGTGTGACGACAGCCCCAAATCCTTGAAGGCAGATGTGCTCTTAATAGGCCCCAGGAGCTCTCCTCTCATCATCCCCGCCTTGGATAAGATTTGGGAAGAAGGGTAACAAAACAAAATATCCTAAGAACCATGCCCATTAGTGCTCAGTTGGTGTTGACCAGAACTCCCTGCTGGTCCCTGTTTGAAGGGATTGAATGCCAAATCAGTCACAGAATCACCCAGCAGGTGAGTTCTGGAATGGGAACTATACAACTCTCTGGACAGAAGGTGGGGTTGGAGAGCCTCAGAGTCCAAGGGCAGCCTGCCAGCCTTCTACCTCCCCAGCTTCTGAGATGTTTGCCTCGTGTGAGTATGGGAATGCCATGGGATGCAAGGCCCCCCAGCACCTTCCTGGGATTTCCCATGCCCTCTGTGCACGTGCTCCGGCTCTTCAAGCTTCCGTGTCAGCAGGCCGTCCTGTAGTTACACGAGTGATGCCAGCTGTAGCGGCAGGCCTCTGGGGTCACACAACCTTAGGCAAGCCTCCTGAACCCCTACTGTCTTTTAGGCTTAGGATATTTTCCCGTTGGAATCTTGCCCACGATTCTAAGGTTCTCAGATCCCACCTTGCAGGAAGCTCTGCCCGTATGCCTCAGCCCATGCTCATCCCCTCCCTGAACTCTCCTGGTGCTGGCCCACTTGTTAGTGCCTGAATTGGGGCTGTTCTACACCTGGGCACATAGTCTCTCCAAGAATGGTCTAAGTTCCTAGAGATCAGGGGATGCCTTACATCCTTTGATCCTCTTCAAAGCCTGTAACGATATTAGGTACTGAGAGCTGCTCATTGAATACCTGGGTGAATAATGAATAACTGTTTAAAGCTATTGAACTGGGTGCCATGGCGGGGAGTCCCCAGGTCCTCTGAACTGTCCAGAGTGAAATCCCCAAATGAGAACTCCAAGAGGCTCATTAGCTCAAGAGCCAAAATGGCAGCACGAACCTGTACTTCAGGCATCCTCTTTAGTAAAGACAACAGCAAAAAGTCATACATGCTCTTTGTGGAACATGTCATGCTCAGAACCACCTGACTTATAGTCTAAGTAGCAGAGGGAATGCTAAGTGGGGACCTAGTGAGGTATGGCAGGGGGCCGCTGGGGAGGCCAAGGCCCTGGAGGTAGGTGGCCAGTGAGAGCACACGCAGGGCCCAGAGTCAGGGCCTGGGAGGAGGGCCAGGTTGCTCTCCTTCCCAGGCAGGGGCCCCGCCTTGCTCACTCCAGGGCTCCCATCCTTCCTTCTGCTTCTACCCTAACACTGGTGGTGCTGGAGGGAGGCTAAGACTCCATCCTTTCTCAGAGTCTTCCCTGAAGACCACGGGGAAGCTAGCCTTGCCTGCCTGGAAGCAAAATGACAATAGGTCCAGGCTAGCCCTTGCAAGTGGGAATCACACTCCCTTTGCTGCTGGCAACTGAAGGGTAGGGCAGTCAGTATTCAGTAGGGTAACCTCAGCCCTTGCTTCCCCACCTGAGGCAGGCCAGGGCCCTCCAAGGCCATGCAAGGGGGAGGTAGGGGGGCAGATGGAAGGGTTTCCCTCCTGCTCTTCTGCTCAGAGAGATACATACACATATTCACACACACACACATATATACACACATATACACATTACAGAGCTACAAACAGGAAACCTTAGGAAAAAACAAATCGTGCTTTCTGGTTTATTTTTAAATGGTGCTCTCCTTACCTGAGAGGTACTTTGCCTGTTCCAATTCCCCCACACCTTTCAGATCCATTAAGCTCCCATTAATCCCCGAGAGTGAGTGAAGGAGCAGGAATGTGCGCCAGTGGATGTGGCAATAAATGCAGGACAGCAGGTGTCTGTTTTCTTCTTCTTTTTTTTTTTTTTTTTTTAAATTTTTTATTTATTTATTTGACAGAGAGAGACACAGTGAGAGAGGGAACACAAGCAGGGGAAGTGAGAGAGGGAGAAGCAGGCTCCCCGCGGAGCAGGGAGCCCGATGTGGGGCTCGATCCCAGGACCCCGGGATCATGACCTGAGCCGAAGGCAGACGCTTAACGACTGAGCCACCCAGGCGCCCCGGTGTCTGTTTTCTTCTTAAATTAAAATGCCTCTGTTCTTTTTTTCTGTGAACACTGTGTACAGTGAGAACTGTTCCAGTTTGGAGAGCTGATTACCCATCTGAATATGAGGCTGAGTTTCTCCCTTTCTGACTCACAGATTTTAAAGATTTTTCTCCTTCCTCTCTTGGTCAGAATCAATCCTCTTGGTGAAAGTGAACCACAGGGGTTGGTTTTGACTTGGTTCTGCTGTGGTTTTCAGTTGTCCGTCCTCCCCGGTCTACACACGCACCTCCTCCTGTGGGCCTGGGATAGTTGTGTCCCTCCAAGTGGACCAGGCGCCCATGCCCCACACGTGGGTGAGCCAGGACCTTGCCTTTCCTTCTTGTCCTCAAGGATTTAGAACACACATCAACACCTCAAGCATTCCCAACCCAGCCTCAGGTGGGGTGGTGAGGTCCCCTCACAGAAGACTTGCACTTTCCTCAGAACCAAGATGATGCAACTCAGCGGGATAAGTGGAGAATGGGCGGGGGGGTGGGGAGGGAAGGTGGGGCAGAGCCCTCCCTTCCAGAAGCCCCAGGCCTGGCCTTCAGACAGATGGAAGTCAAATAGGAATGATGAGTTGTTTAGTCTGTGCCTCTTTCTGCAGAGCCTGGGATGAGATGGGAGAGTCCCTGGGTGAACAGGAGGTGGAGAGGCCAACCTTTGCTGCCACCTCTTGGCCTGTAAGGACAAAACAAATTCAAAATAGGAGAGTTAATTGTCCCCGTTGAAAAGAAGAGACTTCTCCCTGCATCCCTTTTCTTAGAGCATTAACTTTAGACAACTTGTAAGTTCTTTCCTCTGTCTCTTTGAAATGTATGTAAATCCTTTAAAAAGCTAAATAAAGCTGTTGCCAGCTTTAGGACTCAGGAATGTCTTTCTCAAGGACCTGGGACCAATCCCTTTGAAATGTCAACATCTAGGGAGATAGGGCCTGCCTCCCAGTCTCTGTGGAAGGGCAGGAGCCTAACTCGGCAAAGTACCTCACTCCACGTTGCAAAACTACTTCCTGTCATAAAGATAGGAGAAGCCAATTAGCTAACAGATGGTGACCCCAATTATCAGGTAAATCTAGGATGAACCTTGTATGACAAATGGTGCTGTCACGCCCTTGAGGACTGGTTATTATGTAGGTAATGGGTTGTGTCTGCCTAGCTGTATCAGAGGGTGAGACTCCTTTCTGTCTTTGCAATCTCTAGCTGATGGCCTGTGACGCACATCACATTCTGGTTGAAAGCTTATTCAATAAGAAAACTGTCTTCCTTCTCTACTACCTTTGTGGAGAGGTTGGCAGATTTGTTTTTAATTCTAGTTCCCCAACAGCTCCCATTGGTTTGGCTCTGTGAGCTTCTAGTCGAACCCATGATTAGCAAAATAATATTGGTGAGGGCTAATCAACTGGAATGCATCCTAGAAGGTTTCTGAAGGACTCCTAATTAGGAATGATGAACATGAGTTCAGTATGACCCAAGGCATTTTCCTCTCACAAGATTATGGAAACCTGTGACTGCTTCCAACTTACTGAGAGACGTATTTCTTGGTGTGGTGAAGCATGACCCCTGTATCCCTTTCCCATACGGCTCATAAAAGCAGCAGCTCAGGAAAAACAAAACAATTTTAGAAAGGAAAAAAAAAGGAGTCTTTTATTTTTACCTCATTGTCTTGATTTCCACTCCTCTGACAACATTCACCCCCAAGGAGATTTGGCTCTACAGCTACAGAGCTAAGTATTTAAAAAATTTCCATGAGAAAATGGCCTTGTTCTGCCTGAGATTTCAAGCTAAGACCTAATAATGAATCCTTCTCCCTCCCCTGACCCCCTCCTCCCCACCAGCAACTTGGAACCTGAAAATATCCATGTGGATATTTTTGCAGCCTACTTCAAGCATGAAATCACAAACCTAAACAAATTAGTTCTCACAAAAGCATTTCCATTTTTTCAAATAAAAGGAGGCATCATGATTATAAACTATCTCCAGATTATGAACATGATACCATTATCATTTTGCCATTTATATTTACCTTTTTGAATTCCACAAACTTCAATTTCATATGGCATGAAATGTTGGCTTAACCTGGAGGGAAAATATAAAGGATATAAATAAATGTATACAAAGGTTTTGAAGGTTATGAAAATTCTTCCATGAGAGTATCACTATCAAGATGGAGGTGCAGCCCCATCCTTTGCTCAAACTGGTGCTGTCTAAATGCAGTTAAGTGCTCTGGTTTGGAGCCTGGCCTTAAAGTCGGTCAGAACTGACTAGAACACCAGCTCTGTGCCTCACCGGCTGGGTAACCTGGGCAAATTATTTAACCTAACTAAGCTCCAGCTCCCTCATCTACAGAATGGGAATGATAATAGGGAGTACATCACAAAGTTCTTGTGAGAATTCAGTGAGGTAATGTGGCCCTCCTAATGACCCCCTTCAGGTAGTATATTCATCATATTCTAGCCCAAACTCACTGGAATGCTGCAGGTAGAGCCTGGGGAGTGAATGTCCAGGCTTCTCAGGTCTGAAACCAGCTCTTAATGTTGATCTAGAAAATTAGAATTCAGTGAGGTAATGTGTCCATCTAGTCAACTTATGTTTCTTGAGCACTGACTATGTGCCAAACACTGAGCTATGTACAAGAACGACAGGAGGAAGGAGACACATTGTCCCTGCCCTCCGACACACAGTCTAGCTTTTGGTATGGGACAACTATGAAGTCATGCTACAGTACGTTAAAAATGCATATGAAACACAGAGTTCTGGGGGCCCAGGCTTTCTTTGCTGCCTTAGAATTTTCCAGACCCAGACTTGTTCTGGAGTAAAGAGGGTGTTATAGCTGGTGAAAGGGTAGGGGGGTGGGAGTGAAGTCACAAGACAGCTCTTACGAATTCTGAAACTCTGGACACTTAGTCTCCACCCGCCTTCCTACCATTTCTACTGACAGCTCTATTTTAGTGCTTCTCCCCCTTTCCTAGCCCAAAGCACTTTCAATAAAAGTACTGTAAGCCTAGAATTAATATCTCCTCCATGCAGTGTATTTTTTTTTTATTATTATTTGAGTATAGTTGACCTAAAATTTTACATTAGTTTCAGGTGTACAACATAGTGATTGGACAAGTTTATACACTATGCTTTCTTCACCACATTTAAATGCACCCTCCTCTTACAAAGGCTAGTAGGTTGAATGGCTAGGAGTGATTTCAGAAGACTGGAAATTGAAACCCACATTAAATTCCACTCCTCTTTGAAATTCTACATTTACAGGTTCATTCCTTGGACTTCAGTTTTTAAAAGAAAATATCCCTAGAAGAAGGGCAGCAAGGATGATTTAGTTATTTGCACTTTAATGTGAATGAATTCTCAGTATCTTTTCAGGAGAGGTTTTGTTAAGAACGCAAATCTAAAAGTTGAGAACAGCTGAAAAAGGGAAGGAGTACCGCCAGAAATTTAAGAGCTGGAAATTCACAACTTTGCTCAAGGCCATATGAATGTGGGCCCCCTATCTCTCATTGTCCACACAGCAGGGACCTACTGTGTGCAGAAATAAGGCCCAAGAGGGAAGGTCTGGGTATGTGGGACTGCCACCTTCTCAGGCACTTGGAAAACAGTGGCCTAGAGCCAGGGAGTGGAGAGCTAACTGGCCAGCCGGGGAGCACCCCTCTGGAATGGGGAGTGAGTAGGGAATAATCTGGCCTCTCCTTCCTCCCACCCCCCATTATCTCCATCAGAGGTTGGCCTCCCAGGGCATAGAGCAGGGTAGACAGGGGTGGGGAATGGCAAATGGAAAACAAGCAGCCCAAGCTCTTTTATTTCTGCTCAGTAGAGAGTGCTAAAGTACAAGGGTCAACTAGCCAGAAGGTAGCATCAGTCTTTAACTGGAAAAGCCACTCTTTCCTCAGTTGTATCCTGTACTTGGAGTGGGGCTTCTCCAGGTGCAGAAGGACAACATCATGACCCAGGCAGAAGAAGACGTGAAGATCACAGAATTCCACGGGCCTAATCCTACCTGTGGAGGGAATTCATTCCTCTAAATTAGCATTCCAAACTCTTCAAGTAAGTCATTTGCAAAGGTACCCCCTTCTACCACTTTGAAGGTAAGATTAAGTTCTCTAGGGATCAGATGATCCCTAGGAATCAAGAGCTCTGGGCTGCGGGGGTGAGAAGCCTGCTGGTTGTTTTGTTCTGACACAGCTGTGGGTCACAAGATTCTTACACAAGCTTGGGGGTGGCCCGCCATGCCACGAGCGCTTCCTTCCCCTCAGCCAGTGATGATGACTCCGATTTCAGAAAGGAGCTCAACCAGCATGTTCATCTTGGGGCACTTCTCAGCCATTTTCTAGATCAACATTAAGAGCTGGTTTCAGACCTGAGAAGCCTGGACATTCACTCCCCAGGCTCTACCTGCAGCATTCCAGTGAGTTTGGGCTAGAATATGATGAATATACTACCTGAAGGGGGTCATTAGGAGGGACAGAGAAAGAAAGTTGTGGAGACTTGTGGTTTAAGGTTGGGAAATGCAACATACATGTAACTCAACTATCTGCCCAAACCTTACTAGCGGTACAGCAAAGGAAAAAAAAAAAAAAAGGCCAAACCCCACATGGACAAAGAAAGCAGAAGAGAGAGTAGCAGGCTTGAGATAGCAATAAAATTATGGAAGATGGAAAGTAATCTCATAGACCAAATAAAGTGGAAACCTAAGTTGGCTGGGGGTTGTGTGTGTGTGTGTGTGTGTGTGTGTGTGTGGCTTAGAGGACATCCTCTGTACCAGGTACTGGTCTAAGTGTTGAAGGTACATTGACTCATATAATACCCCAACAACGCTAGAATTTGTACTCTGATTTTGGGGATGAAGTACAGAGAAGTTAAATAACTTGTCCCAGGTCACACAGCAGAATCTGTAGAAGTGTGGCCCAGAGACCATGCTCTGTAGCCTCACAGTGATAAGCAAGTCCTTCTGCACCAAACCCTGGGAGATCTCCAGACCTGGACTATCAGGAAGCTTCAAAATGGGGATGAAAATAGAATTGGTGGGAGGCCTGTATGAAGAGACAGACCCTCAGATTCCTTCACTATCTTACTCAGGCCAGGCAACTGCCCCAGTGCTCCCTGGTAGGATACCATTGGTTTATTCTCTGGAGGCATTACCCAGTTGAGGATGAGACAGCTATGAAAACAGGAGAATTCAGTGAAAGTTTGTGAACTGACTGGTGAGGCTCTGCAGACACCCTCCCCATTCAGCCCCCGGCAGTGAGGTTTGCACTCCCCAGGCAGGGACTGGGGGCTCCTCTGTAGGAGTTCTGACCAGTTGGAGAGAAGATGTCAACACTGACATCTGAAGGTCCTCTCATGAACCAGTTGGCTCACTGATTGATGAGCCCTGCCCACAGACCCAGGGCTCATACAAGCTTCTAGCAGCTTTTTGGTATCTTCCTCTTTTTCCACCTACATTTTTATTATGGAAAAAGTAAACATATAGAAACATTGGAAATATAGTATAATGAACACCCATATACCTACCTTTTAAGTTGTACAATAATTAGTATCTTAACATATTTGCTTTATCTTTAGATAAATACAGATAAATAAATATAGATAAATATATGTCCATATATTGTTTCTCTGAACCATTTGAAAATGAGCTGTGGACATTGTGATATTTCACCCCTACATATTTCAGTAGAAGGTCATTATCATACATAATCGAAATCTATACATAATCCATGATTGTACCTAAGAAAATTTTAAATAATTCTCTAGTACAGTCTAATATTCAATCCATATTGAAATTTCCCTCATTGTCCCTAGAATGCCATTGCATTTGGTTATTATGTATCTTTATTCTCCTCCCTAGAACAGTCCTCTTGCTTTTGTTTGTCCCCTTCCCTTTTGGAAGAGACCAGGTCACTTAACTGAAGGAGGGTCTCACAACTGATTTGCCTGATTGTTTCCTTGTGTATCATTTAACTTGTCCTTGTATCTCTTGTAAATCCTGTCAACTGGAAGTTAGATCTAAAGGCATGGATAGATTCAGATCAGATGTTTTTGGCAAGTCATATGGATTTTCTACTTCATACTGCATCATATCAGGAGATAACATCTGCTGTCTCACTAGTGGTGAAGTGAAGTTTGGTAAAGGCAGTGACTGCTAGATCTCTCCACTGTAAAGATCTGCTTTCCCCTTTGCAGGGACCATGGATAATGTCTGGCACAGTGTGCATATCCTGTGCAATGCATTACTCCAATGTAAACAGACAATAAAGGATAATGGGACATCTGAAAAAGAGCCTCCAACGTGGAAGAGACAAAAACAAACAAAAAGTTAACTCAGAAGAGATCAGTGCAGGAAACAAAAGAAAACTTCCCCTAAACAATCAATATCCTTAGAAATAAGAGAAGATATCATACCCATAAGGCAAGATTCATAAGGCAAGATTGCTATAAAAAAAATTTAGAAAACAAGAAAGAGCTCTTGGAAATCTACACTGAAAATCGAACACAAAGTTGGAAGATAAAGTAGAAACAAAAATCTCCTGGGGCACCTGGGTGGTTCAGTGGGTTAAGTGTCTGACTCTTGGTTTTGGCTCAGGTTGTGACATCAGGGTCGTGAAATCAAGCCCTGCATCAGGCTCTGTGCTGAGTGTGGAACATGCTTAAGAGTCTCTCTCTCCGGACATCTGGATGGCTCAGTCAGTTAAGTGTCTGCCTTTGGCTCACGTCATGATCCCAGGGTCCTAGGATTGAGTCCTGCTTTGGGCTCCTTGCTCAGTGGGGAGCTTGCTTCTCCCTCTCCCTCTGCCTGCCGCTCCCTGCTTGTGCTCTCTCTCTGTGACAAATAAATAAATAAAATCTTAAAAAAAAAAAAAATTATCTTCTCCCTCTGCCTCTTCCCACTCCCTTGCACATGCTCTCACTCGCTCTGAAAAATAAAAAATAAAATAAATAAATAAAAAAGTGAAGGGGGATAGGGGCGCCTGGGTGGCTCAGTTGTTAAGCGTCTGCCTTCGGCTCAGGTCATGATCCCAGGGTCCTGGGATCGAGCCCTGCATTGAGCCCCGCATTGGGCTCCCTGCTCAGCGGGA